ATATTTACTGCTTTTCTTGTACAGAAACAATGGCGTTGGACTGTGTTCGATGATTGCCAGGATTGGTGGAATAGCTGCTTCATATGTTGTTTTACTGGTAATGTTTCCTACTTTAGACCATGAGGAATTTGATTCGTTCGTTGTAGACGTAGCCTTTACCAATTTTAGTGCACGCATGCCAATTTTTGAAAATCTATTATTAGTGTATACTACTCAGGTGAATGTTGCTTTTCGCGCGCGTTGATTGGTTAGCTCAGAGATAATAAGCGGGAACTATTCTTCTCCGCGCAGTCGAAGAGACTAAATGGTGCGCTGAGTGTTATTAAAATGTCCAACCTTTTTTTTTCGGTTATAGCCGAATGAGCTTATTATTTGGTTCTTGTGTGATATATACACTTAAACAATTACTCACCACACCGTCGGTAATTATATAAATAACTGTGAAGTGTAACTGAAATGTCTGTTAATCAAATTTTTCGTTGTTGATTTTAAGGCTGACCTTCCAAATCTGAGAAAAACTTTCCCCTTGTTGATATTTGGAGCCTTGTCTGTGGCTGCTGGTGTAATGGCCTTCTGGCTACCAGAAACTGTGACGAGTGAAATGCCACAGACCGTGGAACAAGCGGAGGCATGGGAAGAGGATTATAAGATCTACTGCTGTCGAAAACCTAGAATCCAGTCTCCTCGCGGTGAAGTAGTGAAAGACGAAGAGGATACAGCATTAGTGTAGTTCATTGTGTAAATGGAGAAAGCTAAAGAACATCCGTTTTGATGAGTTCTTGCGAATCATGTTAACGACACAAACTGTTTGCAGTCAGTGGTCTCACAAGGCCACAACACATGCATCGCATTTGTTATTACTGTAACTCGTCACTTTTTATCGTCCTCGTGTTTACGTAGACAATTTTTTTTCTATTTTCTTACGTTTTACGTTTGTTGTTAGTATCGGATGGTTATGAGAGACCCTTAATAAAATCAAGTTCACGCTTTTACAGTTAGGATAGACTGTCTTACCGAACTACATTATTGATGCAATTTGGCTATTCTCCTTACAGCTCCATGAGATTGTCTCTAAGCGTAAACTTTATTAACTTAATACAAACATATACTTAGAAGTGTTGGAGCGGAAAATTATCGGAAGTAACATGGTACCGGTCAATATCACCAGTCCACACCGGACTTATTTCACATGCACTGGTGAACATTTTTTGACTCGACATAGCAGAACACGGTTAGCTGTCAGACACTGGCGTGGTGTGATTTTCCATTTTCGACTCGATTGAAATAAAACATTTTCATTTTTGTTTGAAACGACTGTTTTATGGTGAAAATTACCTCAGAATAAAGTCAGCCATTCCTTACCGCAGTACACCAGTAATCAGCGGATTACTTTTCATTTCGGGCGTGCTGCGCCTACTGAAGCTTGCCAAATCCTAAATTTGACTTTGCATTATTCACCAAACCTATTCGGGTCAACGAATTGTGATGTCAGCTCGAAGAAATTCCATATCACTTCGGACCGCAAGCGTTTTCGCTGAAGTTTTAGCCGATCTTTCTTGTTTGAAAAGATTAATTCTATCTCTAATATTTTGTTTTGACGAGTCGCTTATTGGAGGAAAGGATGTGCAAGTAGACACCTGTTTTGCCACCATAAAAAGGTAATGTGTACTTCATAACAATCGACTGTACATGCTTCAAGTTAAATCTAGTAAACTAAGAATGAAAAAGTGCTGCGATATTTTGACCATATTTTACTAATCACGTGAAATCTAAGGGTTAAAATGATCTCCTGCAAACATCTAGACTTAAACTTAGCTTTCGTGAAAGGATGATTAATTTTGCGTAGTTGTCAAAAACGCCCTGCTGTCATTTCACCTGTTCGTTTTGTTTAAATATAGAAATTATTTTAACCCAGATTTAGATAAGTTTTATTTTGTGGACACCCCTGCCCTAAAGCGGAATTCACTTTGAATTTATTCCTCTTTTGATAGATGGGGAATGCAGTTTTTTGGTAGCATAGGAGCTGAAAATGCACAAGAAGAAAGCGGGGAAGTTTTTGTTTATTCCTGATAATTTGGTGGTTGTACTGTTCTTGATTGCCCTTATAAACATTGCTTCAACGGTGGATTTACGCAAATCATTACCAGGCAAGGGTAAGTGGCACTTAGTTTCCACTTAATCAAAAGTAGATGTAACACGATACCGTCAATCCAAGTGAATTTCCAGCATGAAACATTGTCCAGGTGTCTTCAAAGAATTAGAAAAGCTACCAAAACCGATTTACTCGAGAAAGGGTGGAGACGATCATAGAATGAGGTGAATAATTGGATCGATATGGCGCTCTTAATCGCCAAAACAGACAGCGTTAGGCACTTCAGAGGAGAAAAAAGTAGAATTAAGCATTTCAACACAACAGGGAAATTAGTGAATGAGCTGGCATGTGGTTGTTCAGGTTAGTTATTGTAGGTGCAAGGCGCGCAGGGCGTGCGCAAGTTGAAATGCCACGCTCAGTTGATCAAGACCCAACTTACTACGACTTTATATATCTAGTCTGATAATCCTTTCAATTCTCCGCACTGTTTGCCTGACATTTATCATGCTTTTAGATAGAGTTTGGTGTTAAATCAAACGATATACCCCAGATAATATTTTTTTCTTAATACTCATTGCCTTTCTGTGTAAAAATGTACTGATATTGAAGATCAATGTCATTACCTGAGCATCTACGCACTTACCCCTTCCCTAACGCAACAAAACTCAACTAATGACAAGTTGAGGTTGATGTTGGGTTAGGGGAGGGGTAGGTGCGCAGTTTCTCAGATACTGACATCGATCCGACATTACAACGAGAAATTTTACTCCTGGGGGTGGAGGGGTTAAGCAATAGGCGTTAACGGATATGGAGACATTGCTTGATTTGCCAAAATTATTGCAATAGTGCATGGTTGTGAAATGAATTGGGGTCTTAAACTTACAGAAAAAGCGCCAGACTTGGATACCATTATAGAGTCTCTTATTCCTGAGGAAAAAAGGACAGTGAAGAGGCAACAAGGCAAGGGTAAGTGATTTATCTAAGTTTGAAAGCGTTGCATTCGGTATTGTGTTCCTTGAGGGGCTTGTTAGATACTTTTTTAAGTCATGCTGGCTTATTTCAACATTCACTGGTCGTATAATCAATTGGTCTTTCCATTCGTCCACCTTTCCCTTGATCAATAATTATACCTAAAGCCTTTTGACAGTGTACCTAAAACATTTTACACTAGATGTTCCAGATGACAGTGATAGCGACAATGAAGAAATAAACGAGCTCAGCCGCCTCCAAGACCCAGGAAGTCAGGACCAGCAGGTTGGTGGAGCTATCAATGAAGGCGATGCAGGAAAGATCAAGCCCACGATTGACAACTCCATGGTACCGAGTGATCAAAACCAGTCTTCCTCAGATACATTAGCTAATATAAGTGAATTTCTCAAAACCAAGGAAGGTGAAACTACAGTTCCAGGTAACCAAGTCCAGTTCGTTTGCCATTGTTGTTCACGTGTTATACTGATTTATGAGTTTAATTAGGAATCTTTGGGGGAATTAACCTCTAAGAGTGACTAATATCTTATTTCTTCTTACGATATCACCACTGAATCAAAAATTAAGGTCACAATTTTTAAGGAAATGATCACCACCTCTAGAAGATCTTGATTGCCAAACAAATTCTCCCTGTCAGCGCCTTAGGAAAAGTATGAACAACAGTATGGAGATTATAAATACTGATGTTAAGGTGAAATGGTTAAAACACTTAGAAAAGTTTGTCTTGCTTTCTCTCTGTTTTATTATAGTCGATGGCGACTTCACTCTCTGGACCACGTGGTCGTCGTGTCCTCATGCTTGTGGAAGAACTGCGCTGAGATCACGTGAGCGGTATTGCACCAATCCAGCGCCCGCAAATGGCGGGAGAAACTGCGAGGGACCGCGCTTTCAACTTAAGCTCTGTAAACTGAAGCAGTGTGCAGGTATGTAGGCATATCAACTGGGAGGCTTTCGAAATACCTTTCTCCTACATCTTTAGCTCTTCCCGTATTCAGTAGGAGGATAAATACGAACAGGATTGGATCATTTCACATTCATTCCTTATATGGTTTTCCTCTTGACACGACCTAGTTGACGGTGGCTATTCGGAATGGTCGGATTGGACTTCTTGCTCTCAGAAATGTGGACAGGGAATGAAGAGACGACGACGGTATTGTAACAACCCGACACCAGCCAACGGGGGACAGAAATGCAAAGGAGCAAGGAAGCAAGTTAAACCTTGCTACGGTAAAAAATGCCAAGGTTCGTGTTATAACTCTTTTTACACTCCTTATAATTAGAGGTAACAACTAAGGTAATTTTTTTTACTAAATATAATACCAATGCACTTGTGGGAGAAACTGTGTCGATCAACTTTTTTTGAATGGAAATGAAAAGCATTGCTCTAGGATACATGTTCTAGTCATTGGATGTTGATCAGTGCTCTT